GACAGCTCAGAGTCTGGAGCCTGCTTCGGATTCTGTGTCTCCCTCTCTCTCTGCCCCTCCCCTGCTCATGCTCTCTCTCTGTTTCAAAAATAAATAAAAACATTTAAAAAAATTTAAAAAAACTAAAGAGAATAACCTTAAAAGTTCTCATCACCAGAAAAAGAAAAAAATAACTACATGAGGGGACAGACGTTCACGGAATATTGTAGTAATCATTTCACAATATACACATATATCAAATCATTGTTATCCATCTAAAATTAATACATATAGTATATCCATTAGATATCAAAATTAGACCCGCAAAAATGTTTTTAGGTACGTGAAATAAGGTGGCTGGCTGATCTGTTTCTTTCTCTCAGTATCGCCAGGCCATTGGGTGAATACAGAATTAAATCCTGTTCCCAGTTTCCTCCTTAAATGCTGAGAAGCCGACACTATTTTCCTTGGTTACAAAGTCAGATTTTTGTTGAATTTTATGGAACGGAGCAGAGGAGATCTGGCCACCATGGTGGCAAAAAAAGCTAATGAGAAAGAGGCTGTGGTTTACGCTGTGCCGTGATTAACTCCAGATTTTGAAAATGATCTTCAAACCAAAGAGAATGAGGCAAACAATTCCAAGATTTGCAGGAAACCAACTCAAAAACAATTAATTTTCTACTGAGTGCCTATTGGAATAGAAGCCGGAAAGAGCAGAAAGCAAGTGCCAGCTCGTCCAGGCTGTGGCTTCCTGAGGGTTAGCTGACCAGAAGCTGAGAGTGAAGGGCATGGAATGGAGTGTTCCTTACAAGGAGATGCAAAGAAAGAGCCCCTCCAGTGATGAAACATTAAGTCTTCAACATTAAATCTTCAAATGGACAATGAAAACTTACAGCTGTGTTTTCCCACCAGGAGGAAAAGAAGTGCAAAACTACTGTCCTTCCTTCTCTTCCTTTTTATCCCCTGCACCTAACTGAGTGAATTTGAATGCTGCGGTCGGTCGTTAGCAGAGAACGCCCAGCTTAAAAACAAAGGCTTGTATAAGACTTAATAAACACATTAGGAGTTTTCAAAATCCTTCTCCATCAACATACACCATTTTAAAGGGTGCTCGTTATCTGAATATGTTAGAACCTAAACACCTCACTTATTACATGAAAAATAGCACACAAAAAAGACGCTGTTGTCTATTAGACTAAGAATTTTGAACCATATCCTAATTACCATAATTATACTTAATTACGTGAATTTGAGAGTTCTTACTCTGCATACTAATTGAAATGGCCTAATAAAACCATTTATCCTCTTAGATTTCTGCCAAAGCCTCAAACCTGAGGGGGCACCTATGATTCTCAGAACTCGCGACCATGGTGCCTTAGGATCACAGACACACCTCGGAACCCCTGGGGTAGGAGAAAAGCTATTCAAACTTGAGCTGAAGGCTTTACGTCTGAGTGCTGGGTCCAACTTATTATTCCAAGAGTGGGAAATACAAAACTGTAACCAATCGGTTAGAGAGTGACTTTCCTACCTATGTTCCTTTCTTACCCCGTGGCACGTGGAAGTCAAGGTCAAGAATACTCGGCAACTGCCATGGTCTGATTTTTGGTGCTCACTACCTGGTTACCTTTTTCAAGCACCCCTTTTCGTCTAGACCTACAAGTCACTCCAGGGGCTGGGCAAGTAAGTGGTGGCTGGAAACAAGTTAGGGCTGTGTGGCCAGGCCAGAGCACTTAGGAAATCCGGAGTGCCAGTAATACTTTAATCCGCCATTGCAGGACAGCGACAGAAATTCAAAGATAAAGAAATATTGGTTGCTCACCCATTATAACAGAACAATGCCACAGTTTATCAGTAACATCTAGTCAGGCACTGGGGGTGGGTGGGAGGCACCGGCAGGTGTGGCAAACAATGCAGCTCGCAGCTACAGAGAGGCTCTAGGCCAGTTCTGATACACGTGGGCACATGTTGGAACCACCTCCCGGAGGACTTGTTAAGACAGATGGCTGGGCGGCTACAGAGAAACTCGAGGATTTTTCTTGGTGGTTCTCAAACTTGAATGTGCTTAATCGCCTGGAGATTTTAAGTGCCTATTTTCAAACTCTGTTCTGGAGATTCCCAATTCAGTTGGGAAGGGGTATGGCCCAGGAATCTGCATGGTTGTTTTGGTTGTGTTTTAAAAACAAGCTTTCCTCGTGATTTTGACCCAACTCTAACCTCACGTTTGAAAACCAGGGTTTAAGACTCTATTGCTGAGCTGAAAAGCTCTAAATAATTGCTCTCACCAATTATCTCCCTATGGAAATAATCACTAGCACTTGCTCCCTATGGAAAAAAAAAAAAAAAAAAAAAAAAAAAAAAAAAAGGAGGCACCACTACATACACTGAAAACATTAAGAACTCTTGCTTCCAATTTGTACCTTTCAAGGATGCTCTCCCCAGCTGGCGAGCTTAGTTTAGGAAACTCCAAGGATGTGTAGTTCACCCTTGTACATCAGGAGGCTTTCTTGCTAAAGTTCAGAAAAACTTCTCCAAGTCAAGTCACAACCCACCTAGAATGAATTTCATGACCAAAACTTATTATTGCGATGACAAGACTAGAACTGATGGATGTGTATGCAAAAACACTCTCATTTAAAACTACCTTGTAGAGATATTTTTAAATCCTTGCAGAACACCTACAACAAAGTTTGAGATCAAATGGCTTCTCTTTTGGAAATGAACTTTGGAAAATATATTATTGCTAACTGCTATTATTGCTAATCTTCATAATGAACAATCTGCAGATAAGTTATTTGGGAAAAGTTAACAAGTAAGACCCATGGAATATTCGCCCTCTCCATCCCAGACTTAAATTTCCATTCAGGAAAACAACCCAACAACGATCTGGAGGGGACTGGAGAAATGCATCCATACAATGGAAAATGGTACCACAGTAAAAAAGAATACTGAGCAAAAAAGGCAGAGTAAAGAACAAAGTCTATCTAGCATATTAGCTTTTGTCTACTAAAGCAAGAGGTAAAAATCTGTATTTTTATTTTGTTTTGGAAGCATATGCATAAAGCAGGGCAAAAGCAAGTAAAAACAATGGTTAACTTGGGGGGGGGATGGTAACTGAGCACATGGCTGAGTGACAGGATGGAGAATTTGCATTGTATATCTGCTTACATTTATTTGTATGTTGAACAATATGAATGTATTACATATTTTTTAAACATTTTTTAAACAACCCTCTCTAGTTCCAATTTTTATTTAAAAAAATTTTTTTTTAAATGTTTATTTATTTTTGAGAGAGACAGAGACAGAGCACAAGTTGGGGAGGGACAGAGAGGGAGGGAGACACAGAATCTGAAGCAGGCTCCAGGCTCTGAGCTGTCAGCACAGAGCCTGAAGCGGGGCTTGAACCCATGAACTGAAAGATCATGACTTGAGCTGAAGTCGGACGCCTAACCAACTGAGCCACCCAAGCACCCCTCTAGTTCCAAATTTCTACTCACTTATTTCAGGAACTATTTCAGAATCTACCACTTTTAGGCACATGCTGGAGAAGACGAAGAGAAAATAATGATATCCTCTACTTGCACCAATAAACATAAAGGCTTCTGAGAATTTCTTTATGGGAGCAATAATTTTAAGTACAAAAATTAAAAAGAAAGTCCTCCCCCACCCAAATACTTTCAATGAATGTTTCTGGTTTATAAAAGGCTAACTGAAATTCAATTACACAGAAAACATACACTGTTTGAATTGTAAAGCCTTTCTATGTGATATTACATTGACATACAACATGAAAAAAGAGCCCGAGATACAAAAATACAGTTGTGATTCAGGAAATGGCACCAAATTAGAACAGTTTTATTATTTAACATACCAATGTATATACATTATCCTCCCAAATAAGAAACAATTTGATTCCAAAGTTTAAAATGTAGTTTCCAAAATGAATCCTTATTGTAAATTTGAAAAAAAAAAAAAGTCCTGCAAATTAACACAATTTTGACTCTTGACTAAAATATGCACCCTGTACCAATCACCTCGCATACAAAATGTATATTATAAATAAAACTTTCAAAAAAGATCTTGGATGTTTATTGCACGTTGTACAGAATGCTTGCCACTATCTGAAAGGCTTTTCAGCTCTTTACTGTATAATCTGTTTAAAGGATTTCTTCAAACTTGGGTAAAAACACTCTGCAAATATGAGCCTATATAGGATCATAGATGCTGCTTACCAGAAACAGGAAAATACAATCTTATTTGTAGACTTATTTGGACTGCTTCTGCACTTTTTCTGAAATAAGAATGACTCTGTTGTTTAGTGTTAAAAGCAATGACAAGATCTGGACACGTTAAAAGTCCTGTTCAAATGTCAGTTTTCTCTTTTCAAATAGAAACTACGTGGAGAGGCATTTTTTTTTACCCAGTCATATATTTCTACTTTCTAGGACCAGCCCTTCTTGAAGTATATTTGTTAAAGATCACACTACAGGATTCAGAACAATGCTGTTTGTCAGCAACAGTTACTGTTTTGGTTTCAACATCTCAACCTCTCTCAGCCCCAGTAAAGTTAGCACAAAGCAGCCAGCCTGCCATGGCCTGAAAAACAAAAAAGGGTTCCCAATAAGTTTTCATTGCATCCAGCACAGTGCCTTGCAAAGAGCAGGCACGCAATAAATATCTGATGAATGAATGCACTATCTTCTGGGACCATTTCCTATACGTAATTACTGATTCATGAGTAATATGCTGATTTAAGGTACACAGATCTAACACAATGACTAAACAGAAAACACGTGTGACATGTTACAGGCCAGGACACGCTGTGTATTTTAAGGGTTAAAACTATTCCCATACTAAAAATTGATTAGTCGAATATTTTTATTTTGCCAAGGGACTCTTAACAGTATTAGCCTTTGGCAATTCCCAAACATACAACGAACCCCAAACAAAACGAAACGAAACAAAACAAAATTGCACTATTACAGGGAAACAAGTCCGTGAAAGCAGAGAGGAGGAGCCAGTTAAGGAACAGCAACTTCAAGGAGACGGTTGTTTTTTCGTTTGCACGTTGGGACGCTCCCATTTTTCTGGTTGCCCTGAATAAACTTCACACATACTTTATCCTGTCTGAACTGAACCAGGAACCTGGAAGAAAAGAATAGGGCAGATTAAAGAAAAGTACACACACAACGGCTGATGATGACACTAACACTAGCTTTTGTTTCTTTCTTTTTTTATTTTTAAGTTTATTTATGTATTTTGAAAGAGAGAAAGAGAGGGGTAGGGAGGGGCAGAGACAGAATACAAGCTGTCAGCGCAGAGTTTGATGTGGGGCTCGATCCCACGAACCTTGAGCTCATGACCTGAGCCAAAATCAAGTCAGATGCTTAACCGGCTGAGCCACGCAGGTGCCCCCAACTAGCTTTTGTTTCCTAATGGATATTGACCTTGACAAGTATTGCCTCTTTCCATCAGCACTTGCAACAGCCATCACTTAGCCCCTAAGGAAAGTGAAGTTCATTAACTCATCACACTCCAGTAAGGTAAGAAGGGCTAAGAAGAATTATTTCCATGTTTCAAATGAAGACCAACCTGCTCTTTTCCCATTTTTCTCCATTTTTGCATAGTAAGACCATAAACTGGCAGGGGGTGGGGGAGGTTCCTATTGAATTACCAACAGATTGAGAAAATTAAATGAAAAAATATCATTAAAGAGGTCTAGAGACACTCCAGACTATGATTTCCAAACACTGGTTACTGACATTATTTCCTCAACAATTTTTGTCATATCCACACACTATGCTAATAGTTGTTTCTAACCCTAAATAAGTAGATTTCAAAATAGCTGTGACCTATGGAATAATAATAAAATTGCAAGTTTGATATTCCCTTTATATTTTTTTAATGTCCATTAAAATATATATACTATATACTACATATAGTATAGTATATATAGTATGTATATAATAGTGTATATATAGTGTATATATATATATACACTATATATTGCTAATACAAACTACATATATACTATATACATATATAGCATATACATATAATCATAACACTTACACACTCTGTCAGTGCACACCCAAAGCCACTTCTTATCCTACAGTAGTAGTACATGTGGTACAACATGTGAAACCGTATTCTAGTTCCAATCTGTCCTTTCATAGACTGTTAGGGGTCAAGTGCTCGTCCCCTGGATGATTCGTCACACCTTCCTACCACAAACGTACTGCATTCCTGCTGGGCTCAGGGCTGCAAGGGACACCTGGCCATACAAAATGAGGTCCCTGCCCTCAAGGATGGCATCCCTGTGGAGGAAGGAGAGCGGCATGACTGGACCAGAACCCGGGCTTTCCCATCTCAAAGCCAGTGCTCGTCACTCCAGCGTAAGAGTCAGTACAACGTTGCCATATTTACAATATGTTTCTCAGGGAACAGTTTTCTGAGTTGCTGGCATATAGCTGAGTCACTCTAACAACCGTGTGACAGATCGCATGCTCACTGGATCCACGACAACGGCAAACATCAAAACAGCTCTGTTCCATGCACATTAGTCTCAGCGTCAAGGTCTACAGAACCCGTCCGTGTTTTGCAAACATTGTCTACAGGAGTGAAATGTGACACATACGCTCCTGATTTATCAATTGTTTTAACAGGATAGTACTTCCCTGCTTTGGAATGGTCTATTTTTTTTTTTTACCTTGAAAGTACTGACAAAAAGAATTATGGCTCCAAAATCGCATCTCTCTAGCATATATACTTGTATCTACGTGCCTCAAAGAAAGAAAGCACCTTTCGAATTTAATGCCAATACACACATTTAAAAAATCAAATATTTTGACATTTTAATTTTCAAAGACCACTTAGAGTGTAATGAAAGTATAGGGAGTTCTCTTCCCCAATAACTTTAGCATTGGCTGTCTTCATGTTCACAATGCATGACTGCAAGACTTATTGAATGTTCACCATGCACCATACTTTTCTTAGTAAGTTACATATATTAACTCAACTTTAAAATAATCCTATGAGGCAAGTAATATTAATTTTTTTTAATGCTTAGTTTTGAGAGAGATGGACACGCACGACTGGGGGAGGGGCAGAGAGAGAGGGAGACACAGAGTCTGAAGCGGGCTCTGTCAGCACAGAGCCCGACGCGGGGCTCGAACTCATGAACTGTGAGATCATGACTTGAGCTGAAGTCAGACGCTTAACCGACTGAGCCACCCCGGTGCCCCATAGGCAAGTAATATTATTCCTCTCCACTTCATAAAAGAGAAAACTGGAGCATGGCCCACAGTGAGGGCATGGTAATCAGAGAATCACCCTCCAGCAAACAATAATGTTGAATGCATTCTTTCACAGCATCAATACCAGTTTGAACGTCACAGCAAAAAGAATTTAGATGATTTGTTCTGATTTAAAATATTCAGACAAACAATTGCATATGTTGAATGATTTACACGTTTGTATATTATGTGTGTGTACCCATGTACATACACACACATATTTAAAATGTTTAATAGAACAAATTCACTTTGGTTTTTCAATACTTTTAGGACTTCGTTTTTAGAAACTGTTTAGAAATATTACACATTTTATTTAAGGTCCTTAAAATGCAATCTATTTATGGACCGAACCGTTTGGGAATAAGAACTGGGAATTACAAAGCAGGTTAAAACTGCTCTAAGGAGTAAATAGGACTCTGACTCTCCTCTTGTAAACTGACAGCCAGTTTATCCATAATGCCTAGGGAGACTAGGTGTATTAAAATATTACTTCTGCTTCTGAAAAGGACACACTGAGGAAGGTTTCGGTCATTGAACTGCACACTGGATATAATACTAATCTGCCGAGGGGCGCCTGGGTGGTTCAGTCGGTTGAGCGTCCAACTCTTGATTTCGGCTCAGGTCATGATTTCACGGTTCATGAGTTCAAGCCCCGCATCAGGCTCTGTAATGATGGTGTGGAGCCTGTTTGGGACTGACTCACTCTCTCTCTCTCTCTCTCTCTCTCCCTCTCCTGCACTTGTGTGTGTGCTTTCTTTCTCTCTCAAAATAAATAAACTTTAAAAAAAAAAAGTACTAATCTGTAGAGCTGGCAGTGAAATGGATTAAAGCCACTTAGGACTGCAAAAAAAATACATCATGGGCACCCCTGCCCATGACTTTGTAAAATTTTTTAAAAATTTAAAATGCGCTCCAAGGAGGTGTATGATCCTTGCCTAAGAGCTCTAGAGGTTGTGAAACAGGCTACATTGACCGTTGCTCTGCCATGTGGCTCCCTGAAGCCTGGGCAGGGGAACACGGGTGCTCTGCGGGATGCCATCAGCTGTTTTGTTTTTATGAAACCAAACAACGATTAGGAATTGGAAAAGGAAAGGTGTTTTGGACTGGTTTACAATGCAACTAAATGTTTTGTTTTCTTCACATGGCCACCCTGTAAACCTTCACTCCCACAAGCATGTTTACTGAAAGCTTACGCATCCAGAACATCATACCCCTCTCTGTGACAAGGCAGGGTCCCTGCCACCCACAAGCAAACCATCCCCATCAGTGTTGCACAACTGTGTGCCTCATACACAATGTGAGAACCGCGGGAGGGTTCTGTGGTGGATGACGTATGAGAAATAGCACACGCTATCCTGCCCAGCCCCTCTGGAGAGTCATGATGTGTGACTACACAGCACATCTGGGGAGACCTGTAGTAAAGACAGATTGTACATTTCCATGAGCCACTACTTTCTTCACAGCAGAGGCTGTGTTCCTACAATACCAGCTTGGGAAATGCTTAAGAGTAGCGATCCTTTGTGGCCTGGGTGTTGATGTGACTTTCTCTGTAAAGACAACCTCATTAATGTAGTGAGTCAACCGTAAGGCTGCTTCATCCATATTCCAAGGAGCTCCTGCATCTGGAATACACAGAATCTTCCCGGGATGAGTGGGAATTACCAGTTCCACCGAAACAGAAGCCCTGCATCCCAAGTTATAACACATTTCAACTAAAGGGAGTTTAAAGTTATAATAGGCCCTAACAGGTTAAAATCTTAATTGACTAGAACCCAAGTAGCCGTTATATTTTTTCCTAATACGTATTCTTTGTTTAATGAGAAAGGACCCAATGACAAGAAAAGCTATTTAGTCCAAACTGCAATTTCCTACGTAGGGTATACATAAAGGTCAATCTCCCACCAAATCTAAATACCACTGTTGGGGTACAATGAGGACAGATGATGAACCCAAGGTTCTGTACATCCTCAAACATCAAGGAGAGTTAGCTTGGCCTACAGAGGGATAAGAATGGGTATGAATTTATTTTGCTTTTTATTTTATTTTTTTAAGTTTATTTATATTGAGAGAGAGAGAGAGAGAGAGAGAGAGAGAACAGGAGTGGGGGAAGGACAGAGAGAGAGAGAATCCCAAGCAAGCTCTGTACTATCGGGGCTCTGCCCCAACACGGGGCTCAAACTCACGAACCATGAGATCATGTCCTGAGCTGAAATCAAAAGTCGACACTTAACCGACTGAGCCACCCAGGCACCCCAAGAATAGGTATGAGTTTATTTTAGAAAGACTTTTAGAAAGAGTTGAAATAGAATAGGCTGGCAAAAATCTTAATTAGAAAATAAAATCACTTCTTGAGCAATCTGGTTCCGTGACTTCTTACTGTACATGCAAAGAAGTATATAAACAGGTAGTAAACACTCTATTGAAAAGTAAAGTAACCAATCAGGTATCAATCAGCACAGTAACTCAAATTCATTCAAATGAGCTCATATCGATACATTTCATAAGTGGGGGGAATGCTCCAACCTGCATATAAATAATCAGTCTCTATCCTTAGAGCCCTACTGTGAAGTAAAAAGAGCAAAATTTCAAATTTATATATAGCAGTCTTAGCACACCAGTTAACCTTGTCAACATGGAATGCTTATTCTCTATCTATCTATGTCAGAAAAAGGCGTAGCAAATATAATACATCCAAAACAGCACTCTTGATTTCAGCCCAGCCACCCAGCCACCCCCAAACCCTTCTTTCTTAAGCGTCATCTGTGGCAGTAAATGGTACCACCATTTGGGCTCAGGCCCCAGACCTACCGTCCAATCTGTTAATAAGTCCTCTTGTTTTCCCTCAAATTACATTTGGAATCTACTTCTCACTACCTCCCACTCCCACCCTAGCCTAAGCCACATCATCCTAGACAGCTCAGAGAAGCTCCCAATTTTTCTCCACTTCCATTTTTGCCTCCCTAGAGCTATTTTCCACACTGCAGCCAGAGGAATCTTTGAAAATCACAAATCAGATCATGCCACATCCTTGCTTGAAACTTGTAATAGCATTCCATCGACCTCAGTAAAATCTCAACTTCTTACCTTAGCTACCAAGCGGCACATGGCCGGGTCTCTGTCTATCTCTTCAGGGTCTTTTCCTACCATTTCACTCTACCATTAAGTTCATTCCCATCTCAGGGCCTTTGCACCTGCTGCCTCCCTGCCCTGGAAGGCACCTCCCAAGATGGTTGCCTGGCTTGCTCCACTGATTTCAGCCTCAACTCAAATGTCACTGTATCAGACAAGCCTCCCTGACCTCCCTATCAAAAATAGCACACTCTGGGCCTTATCCTGCCTTTTTTCCCTCTCCACAAGCATTTGTCATTAACCAAAGTCATATCACTTATTTATTATGTATGCATATTTGTCTCTTCCACTGGGATGCCAGGGACATGAAGGTAAGGACTTGATCAGTACCATTCACTGCCCGTCCACCATCTAGAATAAATATCAGACGCACACTCGCTGCTTAAAGGTAGTGGCTGCATTAATGAGTAAGACTAGAGTGCTCGGCTGAAGCAAGAAAGCAGAAAGTGAAACACCACATTCAAACAGTTATGAACATACTCATCAGAAATTTCGATGCTGAGCTTCTGTTTGGTTTGGCTGAGAGTCGTCCGATACAGCTTTGTGGCCATTTCAATAAGGTGATCGCTGCTGAAGAGAAAGTCTCCTTTACTAGCTGCTTCAGAGCCCTAAAAGGACAAAGCAAGAGTCAGACCATCATAATTAAAGACAGCTTAGGAGGTAAATGTTTACAGGCTTGGCTGAAAACGTATTTACTGTCTCTTTAAAAAAAACATTAGTTACCGAAGTCCATTCTTCCAAATAAACAATAACGATGAAAGCGGTTATTTCTTCCAACTTGCTTGGGGCACTTTTAGTAAGGTTACCTAACCTGACGCTACCCAAAGTTGGTAGGTAGACCACAGGCACCTTCCACATCACCTGGGAGCTTGTTAGACAAGGAGAACCTCGGGCCCTAGCGCAGGCCCACTGACCAGGATCCTTGAGTGATCTGTTTGCACATTCAGGCTTGAGAGGCACTGACCTAACCTAGAACTCAATCTGAAAGGGCTGTTTAAAAAATTCTTCAGTGGCTTGGTTAAAAACATAAGCAGAACAACAACACTCCCAACAAATATCCTAAGGCAGTGGCTCTCCAGCTAAGCTACACAAAATAGGATGGTTGTGCCCCATTCCAAGAAACTCTGGTTTGAGGGGACTGGGGGCATGGCCTGGGCACCAGCATTATTATGTGTAATCAAGGTTCAGAATCACTGTGTTAGGACTGGATATGCTCCCTTTAAGTTAGGATCCACAGTGGGGAAAAGAGGCAGAATGAAGCATAAGGGACTTTCCTAAGTGTAAAAACAGCAAGCTACGTGCACTACCAGCTAGATGCAGGTCCCTAAATATGATTAATATTCGCCGACATCTGCTTAGTCAGTGACTATTTGTTATATGAAAGGCACTATGCTGAGCACTTTACACAGTGTCTCACTGAATCCTTATAACAACGTTATGAACTAGTGCCATTATTTTCTCCATTTTAAAGAAGAGAAAAGGGTGCCTGGGTGGCTCTGTTGGTTAAGTGTCCGACTCTCTAAAAAAAGTCTTTTTAATGTTTATTTTTGAGAGAGAGACAGCACGAGCCGGGGAGGGGCAGAGAGAGAAGGAGACACAGAATCCAAAGCAGGCTCTGGGCTCTGAGTCACCCAGGTGCCCCAGTTGGACTCTTGATTTCGACTCAGGTCATGATCTCACGACTTGTGAGATCGAGCCCTGCATTTGGCTTTGCGCTGACAGAGAGGAGCCTGCTTGGAATTCTCTCTCTCCCTCTCTCTCTGTCCCTTCCCCACTCACGCGTGTGCACACACGTGTGTGCACATGTGCTCTCTCTCAAAATAAACATTAAAAAGATAATTACAATAAAACATAATTAGGAGAAAAATTAGGTAGGCACACAGAAGTTAAATGACTCGGCCAAGGTCACTGTAAAATAGGTGAGACCAACTCCAGAGCCTACATTCTTAACTACTTCGTTCAAATCAGGAAGTCCTCAAGGCACCTAGGTGGCTCAGTCAGTTAAGTGTCTGACTCTTGATTTAAGCTCAGGTCCTGATCTCACAGTTGTGAGATCAAGCCCCACACTGGGCTCACGCTAAGCATGAAGCCTGCTTGGGATTTTCTCTCCCTCTGCCCCACTTGTGCTCTCTCTCTCAAAAATAAATAAAATTAAAAAAAAAAAAAAAATCAGGAAGTCCTAGTTAAGCTAAAAAAGCACTGAATGTTAAAAAGTCTTTAGGTCAAAGTTATGAGGCAGTTGTTTCATTGCGGTTGCCTTCTTTAATTAAAAAACCACAAATTAAAGATGAATAAGGGGACGGAGATTTATCAAGCGGTATACAGAAAAAACCACAGGAGGAAGCAATGAACATCCTGGTATTTCCATGTATTATTCTCAAAATAAAGCACATCACTGTGAGTACAAACAAAAGCTGCTCAGGGAAATCAGAATTCAATGAACAATAAATGTGATTAATCAGTTCAATTTCAACTAGTCAATTTCAATCACTGAAAAGCCAAGCCTGAGATTTTACATAGCAGTGAATATAGCCCAAATCTGCAAATCAATAACATGTAGAACATTTTAATGTTTTTGTTTTTTATTTTTTTTATTTTTGAGAGAGAGACAGAGACAGAGTGCGAGCGGCGGGAGGGGCAGAGAGAGAAGGAGACACAGTATCTGAAGCAGGCTCCAGGCTCTGAGTTGTCAGCACAGAGCCTGACATGGGGCTCGAACTCACAAGCCATGAGATCATGACCTTAGCCAAAGTTGGATGCCTAACTGACTGAGCCACCCAGGCGCCCCAGATGTAGAAAATTTTAAATCAGTGCCTCGGAGATTGGACAAATGCAGAAATCTTTCAAACAAATCAATAGTTGGACCTTTACCTCTTTGAGATGGATGGCAAAGAAGCCATCATTCTGTGAGCTCATCGATACTTTGGTCACATCCACCAAAGGAACCTCTGACTTGATCTGCCCGGACTTTTGATCGGCAAGAAGGAGATTATTATTTGTTAAGAGGAAAATCCGGGATGTGCTCTAAAACAAAACAAAACAAAACAAAACAAATAAGGATGTAAAACCAATGATGAAAAACACCCCAAGTGGTCCTTGAGTTTAAAGTATTAGTTATTTGCAGAAATGCCCATTTTATTCTGTATCTTTCAGCATGCATATCTATGTAAACTGAGAACACACTAAAAACACAAATAACGTATCTTAAATCATGAAAGTTTCAGAGAACAAGCAAAATTCCACCTAAGCTTAAAGGTAAGGGGGAACATCTTCCTTTATAAGAATTCTGCTGAGAAAATGAAATGCAAATTTGAATATTCAGAAAACTAAAGATGACTGTCCCAATTGATAAACACTTCTTACAAGTCTTCAGGGATAGCATTTTACCTTCCCATTGGCACGGTTAATTTTGTTCACCACTTCAGCAATGATAATCTTTTCTTCAATAGCATCTTTGAGTTTCTTATACTTGGGATTCTTGTTGATTTCCAGGTAAGCTCCTTGGAATGGTTGCCCAACACTAGAGGGAAAAAAAAAAAATTCCCCTCACATTAGAAACAGTTCCAGATGGAAGTATTATGGGAGAAAGGTAACACGTTAGCTGATTCTGAAGAGTGATAACTTCATCAGAGTTAATTTTATGCATTTTACACATGTCCTAAATAGTTGGAATGAAACCTGAAGCCTACTTCAAATACATTTGTGATGTCATCATGGCATTTTGTAGGTAGGACTTTGATAAAAATCTTATCACATGGAACAATCTTATCACATGGAACAATCAAGATAGAAACCAAGGCCCAAGTGCATGGTCTCAAGGAAAAGGCAAATCCTTCTAATCTGTTAATATAAAGTTAACAGCTACCCACAAAGGGCTTCTAATGCCTTTAAACGACATGTGGCAACAGGAAAAAAGAGCACAGATCATTACCATCAGCTGCTTCAAAGAAAAACTTCATTTTCTTGCAGAGAATCAGAAAATCAATAGGCCGCCTGGGAAGAACAGATCCAGAGCAACCGCTTTAGAAGAAAGCTACAGAGCACTTAATATTACCATATAACACTGGCTCTAAATAGGCAACGTATGAAAGAAGAATCAGGCCTTTCCTCCTAGGATATGCCCCTACTCGGACAGAAGGGGCCAAGGTCACCATTCAGAAGCAGAGCAGTTTTCTTTCAAACAAACTGTATCTTACAAGTCGCACAATCATGCGCTAGGATGTCGATTTCCCTTAAAGGTTTGTGGGGTGACACCTGCAGGACAGCTTCTTCAAAGACACCAAAAAAAACCCCACAACAACAACAACAACAACAAACTGTGGCTTCACTCTGAGCTGTAAAGTTCTGGCAATTTGCAAATACAACTTTAAATGCTTGTGTTGTGGGTGGAGGAATAGGGAAGAAAAATCCACGTAGGTGGTCAGTGTTTCACAGCTCCCAGCACATAACAGGCTGGCACCCAGAAGGGCCGCTGCTTCCCACAGTGGTGGGAGGCTAAATTATCCCACCCCTCTGACTGCTGCGGGGGGAGCATGCACAGAGAACACTACCCAAAGAGGACCTGGCTTGATGTTAATATTTTTTTCTTGCTGTTCATAGTCAAATGCATCTTTATTCATTTAATGTTTTTAAAGGAAGAATCAACAAATGTGTTTTTAATAATTAAAAAGTGCTAAGAGTCTCTGAATTTGTTTCTTCAAAAATGCATTTTTCTCCTTTCAGTTTCTGAAGCGTCACCCACAGGGAATGTTAATTAAGACGATTACAAGTGAAAAAGATATAAAGAAAAAGTTAAATCAGTTAGTTGCTGGAGAGAGCACAGGGACCATTTTCGTGTTCGAAAGTGCTTTCTTTAGCAGGCACTTTGGACAACTTCGGATGAAGATGTTACGTGGGACTCACGGGGAGTATGTACCATCTCAGGTCACCAGGTCAGCTGACCCAGGAGGCTGTGTCCCTAAAGACACAGAGAATACAAGCATAGCACATGGAATACATGTGAATATACCCAGCAGATATACTTTTTATTTCTGGGCCGTCCTTTGGAAGAAGCTAAAAGTTGTTAAAGACTTCGCTTGAAATTGTACAACCTACTTTTTTATTTAAAAACAGATGAGAAAGGGATAAGGATTCTGGGGAGAAATGATGAACTTGGGAGATAGAAAAATATTCAGATAAGCGGTCTTTACCAAGGGTTTCGCTTGGTAAACTTACAACTGATATTGCTTCTTTTATTGAGTGCTTGGTGCCTACAATAAAGGGACCGATCTGACTGCACAGGCCACTAACGTCATGCCCAAGGAGTTAGCAGACCAAAGGCCATCACAGAGCAGTGCTCCCGCAACACTCTTAGAGTGACAGACCAGCTCGCTCTTCTTTACAATGCAAATGAGCCTGACCCAGCTGGTTCAAGGAAGAAGACTGGCATGGGGATTACAGTATATTACCAGCAGACATTGGGCCGGCCTCTGAAAACTATGGAAAACGAACAAGAATTTACAATGAAGATTTATCTTAATAGCCTATACAATTTGTATTTTAAACGATGACTTCTAATTATTTAGTGAAGTGTTTAGGCTAATGCCAATGAAATAAAACCAACAAATGTAATCTCATTTCGTTACAGTATGCCATGAAAGCCATTGCTCAAAAGTGTTTAAGTGTACTTTTTTCAACAGAGCTGAGCTTTATTTCCATGTTTATTACATGTTTATCTTTGATGTCGAATACATATTAGAATCAGCATACGACTTGGGAGAAAAGCTGGATGTTCTCCACTGAATGGGTTAAAAAGGAATATAAAACTACAAAATACTCATTTTAGGTCTTCAATTCTAAATTATGGAAAACAGAACAACAATTACCTTGCCATTTTTCTCTTTCTAGTTTTCCAAGATGAATTTCACTATAAAATATTTTTCACTAACAATTAATTTTAAGAAAGGAAATAAGGGATTAAAACCACTTGACTTTAAGTATAGAGTACAAATAGTCTTAACACAGAACTCCTATCTTCTATTTAAAATACAAATATTTCATCATAGTATGAATTGAGAGTGATTAACTGATGTCAACTGGAAATCTAGTGACCTAAGCAAACCCATACATGCCATTTGCTTTTGTCTGGAAGAGTTAGGCTGATCATAAAATAATTCATAGAATTAAAAATCTCTCATGTATCACTGAAATCAAACTCCACTAGAAGCGACCTACAAATATATTTGAGGAGCTTTTAAAATACTGACTCTTATGGGTAAAGCAAAGCCATAATACCTAGATGGGTATAAAGCCTTCTTGTCTTTGAAGAGTTCACTGGCTTCTAATTTTTCTTCGTAAATCAGCTTTTGCTGGTCTGTGAATTGGTCTCTGTATTTTTTACACTGTGAAAAATGAAAAGGAGAAAAAAAAAAGATATCACTTACATAAGTCATTACTCATTCTTAAATATGCTAAGCCAATTTAGTAACATGAAGAGTAAGAGTAAATGTGTACAAAATATCCATTTAAAAAAACCAAGAGCATTTTTCCTTTTTGGGTTTTAAAAGGTTGGTCTTAGAAAATGCCATTAAAAACTATGGTCTGTATTGTGGAACCTGGGATGCTTCTTCAGAACACGCGAGGGCCTTGCTAGCAAGGGCCCTACTGGGAGTACTGACCCTCCCACTATGACATCAGCCCCCCCACCCCCCCAC